GCACAGGGCACTGGTGTCTGTTGCGGGAGCTTTGCTGCCACTGCGATCATGCCTCACTTGCCGCATGTTTGATAACTCGCTTCAGGAAGGCTGGCTGCAGGCGGCAGCTGCGGCAAACAGTTGGGGTCCACCAAAGCAAACACCTGGCTGGGGTCGTCCTTACTTGTATCCTCGCGCAGCCTTCAAGCTCCAACGGGAGTTTGGAACCCGCACTTGCTGCATGATGGCTCTTTTGGAAGGCTGGAATGGACGCAAGTGTCTGAAGCTGCACAACGCTGAGGGTGTCTGAGCAGCTTGCTTGCTGAAACGACACTGGCAGCTCAGGCTCGCAAAGCTGCGGCAGTAATGCAGTCAGGCTTACAGCCACAAACACTTAAACGATTCCAAGTAACAGACTGCTTGGGCACCACAAATCAAGTCCAAAGCGGTGTTCTAAATCACAGAGTCTTCGACAGAAGCCGCGTGTCTGGTGTGTCTGTGTTGCAGGCGTTCTTGGTGACTCTGAGGCTGCTTCTGCGCAATCTCGAACTTTGCTCTTGTTCTGTTCCACCTTTAGCTCTGAGACTAACTCCTCAGGCCTTCGGCAAAATTCTGCAGAGCTTCTCCGGAGGAAACTTCTTGGGCTGTGGGGCAGTTTTTTCAGAACAATTTCGGCTTTTTGCCTAAACATGCCCACCGACCCTTGCCTTGTAGCACTCCATCACAGCGGCTGGAAAAGGACACTAGAAGCTCACAAACACTTGTCAGCAACAAAGTAGCGCCTACAGCGACACGTCCTGGCGGCAGAGTGCTTGCGGGAGCTGCTTGAAAAATCAAACGCCAACCGTGCCTAGTAGGCACCGACTGCCGCACTGGACACAGGCCCTACTGTCCCGAAGTATGGCTCGAAGAAATCTGACTTGCCCAACCAAAGACTTTGTTCGCGGCACGATTGGGCAGCATGGTTTAAGGCTGGCTGTGGTGAAGGTCCGGCTGCTGAAGGCTCGGCTCACAAACGCTCAGCAGCACAGCAGCACCTACACCGACAAGTCATCATGGCAAACTGCTTGGGGCAACTTGGACCGAAGCCAGAACCAGCTGGAGCACAGGGCGCTGGTTTTTCTTTGCTGGAGCTTTGCTCTGTCTGAGATCAAGCCGCGCTTGCCGCACGCTTGGCTCGCTTCAGGAAGGCATGGATAACGGCTGCAGTGGCGCGAAGCTACAGGTGCTTCGCAGGCTCTGGCTCACAAAGCTCTTCATTGCAACGGATTCACAGCCGCCAGCCTCACACTGAGTCCTTGAAGGTATGTTTTCCTACGCCATCCACGGAGCTATCAAGACCGCTTAGGCTCTTTTGCAGAAGAATGTCGGCTCCTTGACTAAAACTGGCCAATTAGAACGCAGCTCAGGTCCTCGTGACAGATTGCTTGTGCGCCCTGCCACGTCTGGAAAACGAAACTAGAACCGAAAGCGAGAGCCCCGGGGCCAAGGCAGGAGTTCATTTGCTGCCGCGCGGCCGCTACAGGGCGCCAGCTCAGCTCACAAACACTCGTCAGCAACAAAGCAGTTCCTACAGCGACAAGTCCTGGTGGCAGAGGGCTTGGGGCGGAGCTGCTTGGAAAATTAAGCCCAAAGCCTCACGGTGCAGTGGACTAGCCACTTATTAGGGGCTGGCAGCTCAAGCGCTGGGCACAGGACCTACTATACGGAAGTACCTCAACTTGCCCAACCAACTTGTGGGCGGCGCAAAGGGGAGGCATGGTTTGAGGCTGGCATGGATGTGGTGAAGGTCTGGCTCGTGTTAAGCAGGAGTATGCTGATTTGTCGTCGCACGGCAGATACAGGGCGCTGACGGCTCGGCTTACAAACACTCATCAGCAACACATCAGTGCCTACAGCTTCCAGTTCCATTGCAGAGTGCTTGGGGAAAAGCTGCTTGCCTACTGTACAAAAGAAATCTCACTTGCCCACCCAAAGCAATTGTTGGCGGAACAAAGGGGAGAAATGGATTGCTGGCATGGCTGTGGTGAAGGTCTAGCTTGGGTCAAGCAGGAGCATAAAGATTTGTAGTCACGGCCACAGAGCGCTGAAGGCTCAGCTCACAAACGCTCAGCAACTCATCAGTGCCGACGGTGACAAGTCATCATGGCAAGCCGCTTGGGGCAGAACTACTTGGACCAAAGCCAGAACTGACAGCTGGGGAACTGGGCACTGGACCGATTGCGCGGAAGTTTAGGTCCAACCGATATCAAGACACGCTTGCTGCAAGCTTAATGACCTGCTTGGGGAAGGCAAAGGACGTGGCTGACGGCAGCTATAGCGGTGGCACCGAGGAGCCATCACTGGCGAAGAATCTGTGCTTTGTCTCGACCCCTTCGCATTTGCCTGGCCCCTAACCCCCCAATGTTTTTTAAAGCAAGCCATGCTTTTTGATTTAATAAAACCCAAAAGCGTTGGTCTTTATAAAAATACTCGTTCTGGCTTCTGGCACCCTCCAGGAAGGGGTGAAATCACTGGTTCCTAAAGATCGGCTTTCCAGCAATGGCTCCCTTCACAAAGACGACGACAAGTCGCCGCAGAGAGTGGGCAACGCCATGAGGTCGCCGCAAACGCAATCGCCCCGAAAGCACTGTGCACCCGCAAGATCATGTTGGGCCATGTGTAGATGTCAGATTCCAGCGAGCTGATGGCAGCATCATGAAACAAGTGAGCAGAGTCCTGACTGAGTTGCAACTGATATAGGAGGAGCGTTTGGTCCTGGGTTTGAATCTGTAACTGGGCACTGGAGCTGTTGCAGTGGGGCAGAGTGGTGTGAGACTTCAGGGCGAAGCTAGGGGCTGCCAGGCACACGGCTGTCAGGGCAAGGCATTCTGAATTGTCGGACACATCATTGCAAGTCCCACTCCTCTGCAACAGCTTGGAATGAATCAGAACCACGAGCTGGAGCTCTAAACCTAAGCACTCGACCACCATCATGGACGGGACGCATACATAAGGCGGATTCAAGCAATTCCTGGATCAAGATCAGCATAGCATAGGCAACAGTCGGAAACGGCTGGCCTGGATCCACACTAGGCAGGTGTAGCTCCAATCTCGAGGGTCTGGCCCTGGGGCACTCCTGGCACAGTGTCACGCAGAGAGCGTGCCACCGGACAGACTGGAGGCTGCTACCCTGACATGGGCGGTTGTACTGTGGCACGCGATGTGTTTTCCATGCCGGCCACCATATTCAAATGAATACTACCTCTAGCCAAAGTTGGCTAAATATCCTTTTGAGCCGCAAACCGCGACGCGCGCCCGCTGTTGGCCAGCCTTTGTTCCGGCCGGCAACGCGGAACCGGCAAAGCTCTACAGATCACACCCCAACCGAGCTTTGTGTGGGAAACCTGGCGGCCCCCCCATGTTCTCCTGAGGTGTTGACTCCAGAATGAATACGTGCATGTTACTTGCTGGAAAATCAGCAAGGCATGACCAAGCCATCACAGTCCTCAGTGGCGTCACTGTGCAGGAACTCCACCTCGGAAATACACATGGCCGGCTTCAACAAATAAACAAGCTATGGAGGCGTGAGACGCATGCATAGATGGACGGCATTCCATTTCACCAAACCTTCGTCCCTGCCATCCGTCTCGCGACACATCCCCTCAAAACCAACGAAGAACCAGAGCATGAGCGAGGAATGGGGAGAACAACATTCGGGTGAGTCGGCCACCGTGCTGTTCACAAAGAACCTGGCTGGTTTAGGCCTCTGGTACTGTTTCTCTTAGACTCCCGACTCTCCCTTTTGCTTTCCCAAATCCGATCCTGAGGTCGCGTTGAAACACATGCAAATCAGTGGGAAGAATTCGGGGAGGCTTGGGTTCCTGCATGTTTCTGAGGGGCGCTCCTGCGCTGCGGGCATGAGCCGGAAGCCGCATAAACCGGTCAAAGCAAGCTTTGAAGGCCAAGAGGTCAGCAAAACGAATCTACAAAAACTTTCAGAAGAAAATCATTCAGAAGAAACACTTTCAGAAGTTCACTTGCTTCTTCACATGGATCGCGTGGCGCTCGCGCCGGCCTTGGCGTGGGCGATGCCATCCTCGCCCTGCTCCGGAACCCCCACGATCTTGAAGGCACGCTCTGCCCTCAACTCCTGAAAGCCGCGATGCGCATCGGACACCCCAGCGGATCGCCCCCGGCCTCTTGGGCCCTCAATGGGGTGGCTTGGAAAAGCACATTGTCTGCCAATGCCCACTCTGTATGACTGATAGAGTCCCGTTTACAATATCCATGCCGTTCTTTGCCCGTGCTTCCTCGCCGGAATGCCAAGCAGCCGACGAAAAGTGACTACGTACTGTTTGGCTGGCGACAGAACAACCAATCCTTCGACTGCTCAAGATGAGAACCCGGCAAGGCAAGAATTGGCAACTACTCCTGATCCGTGCCCAAAGCCTTCTTTGGTTGACAGTGGTATACTTTTTGTGGGTCTTGCCTGGAAACGCTGCTCACTTGCCCAAAGGACCCAGAACCGAAAGGCCTCCCGCTGTTGTCCGCGGATCGATGCAGGGATGGACAGGTCGAAAGGCCGGCTTTGGGCAAGTCGCAGCAGGAATATGTTTCGTTCTTGTGGCAAGCGTGCTACCGTGCAACCGTGCAACCGTCCATCACCATGCAAATGACGAATCATTCATCTGGCAAACGGCTTCTCGGTCCATTTGCCTCCCACAATGGAAGTTGGGCCAGCAAACGTTTCATAGCGTGATGCTACCGAGATCCCCCTCGGACATTTGAATCTTTGAATCCATCAGCAGAAAGTCTTTCAAGTATTGTTGGCCCCAGGTTTCAGTGGGCATTGATTGCTTTTGGAGGGGCACACCGGAGGGGAAGCACCTCCATACTCATAAACAGGAGTTGATTCTTCTGGCCAGGTCCTCCAGTAGAGAGGTTACAATAAGGTTCCCCGTTGTTTTTTAGGAACAAACCCTTCCCCAACCAAAAAAGAAACGGGTTAGGAAGGGCACTACTGGGGCAGCGAGCTGGGGTCATTCCCGGGCCCAGGACGAGGCCCAGGCCCAGCGGCCCTCGCGCCGCGCCAGCTGCGCGGCGCTGCCGAAGCGGGGGATGGCCGAAGCCCCCGGCGCAACGCCTCGCGCAGGCCGGGCACGCGCTGCTCGCAATTGACACAACTGGGCATCTGATGTTTGTGTGTTCATTCTGAGTTGAAATCATGGGATATACTGATATTGGTTTGTTCTTTTTTAGTTGTAGCTTAAGTCGTGCGGTGCACACCTTCAGGGGGGTTGCGCAAGAGCTATCCATCGTTCGTGCTTTCTTATTGATGTCGTGGTCACGCTGCTTTGGATTGGAATCCTTGCAATGCTCGTCGAACAAGCACGGTTGTCATGTTTGGTCAAAACATGTCAGGCCTTGTTTTTGCAAACCCCAAGCAACCAGGCCTTTCCTGCCACAGCCCCCAAATCAAAAGGCAAGCTGTTGGGGCCACTAAGAAATTTGAACAAGCAGACGGGAACCCAAAATTAATTAAGTATCTTAAGACTGCAAACACCAAAAGTTCACATCAGAGGGTTGTACTCTTGGCCATCCCAATGTGTGCTTCCGCGCCTAGGACACCCACCTCCCCCTCCAGCTCCACTAACTCCTGAGGTAAAGGTCACTCCGATGGATCGGGAATCTGCATACTAAAATTGATTGGGGACCTCTCCAGACAAATGTCGGTGGATTCAGACAAGAAAACAAACGATCAAAAGGGCATCGCAAAAGGAACCTCTGTTACGAGGCTCGCAAACCCGTCGGCAAGCCTCCTGTATTTGCCAGATCAAACTCGTCTCCTGCGCAGAGGAGTCGAAGACAAGACGCTGCCCCGGGAGCCTCGGCTGCGCGGCAAAACAGATCACAACACACAAACCTCACCAACACACATCAGATGTTACAACAAACATTGATCACCTCACACATTACAACATTACAACAAAGATGATCACCTCACACATTACAACATGACAACAAAGATTACGTACCACATGAAACCTCACCCAAAAGGGAAGGTCGCGCAATTTTTCGGGGACAAAGGGTCGCTTGCAAAAACGGCGCCGCGCGGCATGGCGTCGATGAACAGCAGAGGCAGCACCGGCCTTTGGCGCAGCTCCTCAATGCGGGACTGCAGCACCTGGTTTCGAGCTCCCCAGGTTTGGGTGGGAAGTCATCCCTCACGTACCTGACTTACTGACTGGACTGGCCAACACCTGCTGCAAACTGTCATTTCACTCTCTCAACATGGTCTACTCAAAACTGCAAAGGCCATACACTGGGGCAAGTGAGATCTTGACTTCACCAAATCGCGCAAGGGCTGTCCCTGATTGGCAGCAGGACCTCCCCTCCGTCGAACTTTGTAGGATGCCAACCCGTCCCTGCCTCCCAGGTTCCCCCAAGCCTTCCAGCAAATGAGACCGTAAAGTGGCCTTGTTGTGTCCCGTTGCTTTTGATCACTGCTCACTTGATCTCCAAATAAACGCGCCCGAGACATCAGGAACAACAAGGGCGCCTTTGGTGAGAAGCTAGTGGAGGGCATTTTGTGAGTGGATGCGCCGCGAACTGCCATTCTTTCCAAAAGTGGACTCTTTGCGACCAGCAGAGTCTAGAAGCCGGCTGGACGTGAGGTGAAGGGAACACGCTTTCGCGTCAGATTTTCAGGTGGATCCCAACCCCACAACTCCGATGTCCAGCCGAAGCATCTCAGCCCAGTGTTGGGTGCTCAGCGCCTGGAAAAAAACAGGAAGCGCCATGAGGTCCCATGTTCACTCGGCCGCTCTGGTCGCTCACTGGCCTGCAGGTCGTCGTCGCTCATGGCCCTGCGCGCCAAAGCTCCGTCCGACGGATCGCAGCGCGGCCAGCGGGGCCGGGGGTGGGCCTCAGCTGCGGAGGCTGGCACGTTGCGCTTTGGGTTTGCGGTCGAATCAGTCGGTGGAACTGGATTGCCCTCGTGGGTTGTGGGGCCACGCTCCTCTGGCAAGCTTGGCTCTGGCCTCGGAATAGAAGTGATGCTGGCTGAGGAGGTTGCTTTCCATGAAATAACCACGGATGGCCTTTTAACAGCGCTGTTTCCGCCGGACAATCCTCGCCGCTGCAAAACGATCACCTGCACCAAAGGCTTCTTGGGTCCGAGGTGTCACCATGGCCACGATGCATTCTGTAAATACACCAAAACGACGTATCAGACATCCACATTACATGCAACACATCAAATGCAAACACATACTCACTGGGTATTTAACATTGCCCGATGTCGAAGTGAGAACATACTATACATGTGCATGCAGGCGAGTTCTGGAAGTGTTGTTCGACGCGAAATGAAAGCTGTTTAACCCTGCGTGTCCTCCCTTGATGCTAGCAGTGGCAGTAGAAACCGTTCACGACACGAAAACGACTCAGGAAAAAGTGTAGGGGATGTGTTGTTTGGCCTGGGTAAGGTCTTTTTGCCATTTGTTTTGGGTCAGGGTCCATTTTTGACCCGGTCGAGGTCTATGTTCAAAGTAGCACAATTTGTGAACTTCTGTGACAACGGCCATGCTCTGCCAAGCTTCGTTTGTACAAAGTAGGCCAAAACGAAGGAACACGGGCATGAAACCTACGAAATGTGGTATCAAGCAGATCCAGCCTTTCAAACTGTCATGTAAAACGGGCGACCGCCTTGTCCCCCGCTTTGTGCCTGAAATCCCAGGAAGGCGCACCTGGAGCATGGCTGGAAACAATTGTAACACGCCAACGAACGGAAAATTTGAGACTCCAATTTTTGTTGGCCATGGTCGTCTAGGTTCCTTACTAGAAAATTGAATGGCCCCATGAATCCCGATGAATCGGCTGATGACAACAGCATTTGACGCTTGCCCCCCGCCTTCCCCTCAGGAAAAGACAAGGAGAATAAAGGGACCTCTCCAAGAAGGTTGAAACACTGTTGCGGCCCCCCTTTCCTTCCTAGAAACACGGCCAAGCCCTTGGCACATTGAGCCCATCGTCGATTCCCCAGCGGTGTGGTAGACGGTCGTAAACGTCTCAGCATGTTTGATGCAGTCCTTATCAAAGTCAGTGCTTCCAGGCAAGCCATCAAAGCAGGCGCAGTAACTCGTTGGTTGCTTGCCGTCCTAACCACAAACATGGAACTTGGCTGGATGTCCATGAAGTAACGGCAGAGCCAGGCAGAGCCAGCGCACGCGCTGCAATCCACTGGCAGCTGGGGCTAACGGGTTGTCTAGCATGAAATTTGTTCACGGAATGGATTCATTCATGAGCAGGGATCCTTCAAATGGTTGGCGTTAGAATGGTGTTGGGATGAACGAGTCCAACATGAAGAAGTTGTGGGGCTAGAATGATAACTGTGAAATCTTCTGTGTAACTTATGCAGGGTAAGACCCCTGACAAATGACAACAACCTAGCAAGTTGACTTGCTTTGTTGGGAGGCCGGCCAGCTTGCGTCCCATCCTGAGAACCCAGTTGAACCCTGGCAAGAAGGACTTCAAGCAATAAGACTTTGGGGTCCTCAGCAAGACACAGCAACCCCTAAGTCAGGTTGTCACCGAAAGGCTTCGGCCCTTTGGGGTACAATTGCATTTCGCGCCGTTCTTAACAAAGATCCCACAAAAAGGCTACTATCATGACAACCTACCATATGGTTGTCGGCACGGCGACAACAAAGTAAAGCTGGCCTGGTATATTACATAAATGGCCCGGCGCACGGGCATATCGTAAAGCCTGTTGACTCTAACTTGCCAACGGCAATGGTAAACGTGTTGCAATGAGCAAACCTAGAGGGACAAGCTACAACGCAGTCAACAAAGCATCCTCTTGCTTTAAGCTGGGATTTCGTGCCCTGCTGACATGCCGGGTTCCATTCCGGTGACGTGCAGCATCCTCTAGACTAGCTTGGAAAAGGGTGTTTGCCAAAGCGCCTATCAGCAACGTCACCTCCATGAAGCCAAGGATTGCACCACCAGACAAAGTCGGGGACCCGCAAACCTTCTGTGAGTGCCTACTGTTGATTTGGCTGTGGCTCAAAATTAAACAGGAGGGGTTACAAGGGGTTTGGTCCATGTTTCCACTTACAAGGGTTCCATTTTGGTGCCGGTTTTTTGAGCCACAGCCATTTTTCACACCTGTCTTGATGCGTCATTCAAGCCCTCCCCACTTAGACTCACTCACCACGATCCTACACTTCCCTCCCCCTGCCTGGACAGCGCCAGTGCCAGCACTAGCGCCAGCGCCCATCGGCACCGCATCATAGCCATGGCTGCCGCAAAGTTGGCTCCGATCCAAATCGAAATGCCATCAAAGGCGCGCCTTGCAAACGGCATGGCAGGGGCCTGGTTGAACCAATAGGTTAAACATGGTAAACCACTATTGGATCTCGTCATCTATAGCTGTACCTTTAAAGGTGCTCACGGCCTTAGTCAAACAAATTTGCCCCATGCTGGCACACGGTGTGTTTGGGCTTAGGTCACATGGTAGTGCTCAGTTCATGGATCACAAGGCCTCAAAACTAACATTCCAGGACCCCTTGCAGCACTTTGCAAGAGACTAGCCTGAAACAAAACCGTTTGCTGGGGTCCCTGGCTTGACACACACACACACACACGCACCCGGTTGAGCTTGAAGGTCGAGTGAACTGGCAGCTCATGATTTGTTGCAGGTTATGCTGGCTTTGAACTGGGTGGCAAAAAGGGGAGGCTCCGAATCTGATTCTGTACAACTCCCTCTTATGCACCTGTGTGTATGTGTGTGTTGTTGGGTTCCAGCTGAGTCGTGTGAGCTGAGTAAGATGGGTGCCAGCCACGTAGCTAAACCCACCCATATGTGAATTTGATCTTGAAAACAGCGGCATATATGCCACCTACTTCGAACCCACGGTGGTCCATGGTTGCCTGCATCTGCTACACAAGAGCCTCTTGGCAAGTAACAGCTGGTCATTTGGACATTTCTATGGTAAACTTGGCACCCTGAAAACACTGGCACCGGACACCGAAGCCATGCCAACCAATGCCAGAGCTAGCATTCGTCAAACATCTCAAAAGAAGGGGAATCTGAGTCCGCGTCCTCACCTTGCCCTCCTTCGCCATCAAGCAATTCAAATTCCAGCGAGAAGTTTTGGCTCAACGACCATTGGGGCGGGGAAATTGGGGATGTCACCTCCGGATTAGAAATTGCTGATAGCTGAGTACATTTCAGAGTTCACTGCTGTTTTGCTGAGGCGTTGCTCGTCCATCAAGACAAAAGACATTCTGCGACTTGATTTGTCCTTCCCTGCCTTCCTTCCGTCTAGGCTATGTTTAATTGGAATTCCCGAATCGTTGGCGCGCCGCTTGGGGCAATTTCGTCAAAGTACCTGGGAAACGCATTCGTTGATAGTCATGGCCCAGCCATAAAGTCACCCACTCTGCACTCACCAAGCAGAGGCTAGACGGCTCTTCGCCCACGTGCGACGGCTTGCGCTGGCGGACTGCCCCTCGCGCAAGCCCGACCACATCCCCACCAACGCGAGTGGGGATGTGGCGTCATCCACTTCTACTTCAGAGCCGGATTCCCAGCTCATGGGCTATGCAATTGCCCCCAGTAAAACAAGGAAGTGGCCCCTATGTAGCTGTTTCCAAACGAATCGGGGACTCCAAAACCATGGGTTCTCCGTTAGGCAAAGACCAAGTTTGGTGTATTGATCGGGGCCCCCAATTCCAGGAAACCGCCATATGGGGAGCGCTCAAAATATGTGTGTTTATGGAATAAGCTAACATTGCCCAACCGTTGTGTAGAGCGTCTTTCATGGCACCTTATGATCACTAGCAGTGGCCATTAGGTTGCTATGCTTCACTCCGCTATGTATAACAGATTGCAAAACTGGGGGAGCACCTTTTGAACGGTGCGTAGTGGTAAAGCCAAACAACAACTACCTATAGGTTTGAGGTCTGGACCGACCCTTCCATCGTTTCTTGGTTTTCCGGGCGCCCTGGCGCCCCGCAACTCCTGCGTGCCCGCAGCCCCCGGCAAGGCCCGCTGAACCCGTGCCTCAGGCGGCGGGTCCTTGTCTGGGGAACCCAACTGGGGATCCGACGTACTTGGGTGTTTTTGGCTGCGGGTTGGAGCGGGGGCGACTTCTGGCTGTCAAAGCAGATTTTGGGACGGTTGGAGAGAGGGTAAAAGTTGAAAGACCCTCCCGCAATTGGGAAAAGGTGGTTCGTTTTGGCACATCCCGTGTCACTCCCGCGTGGGCAGATATCAAACGATTTGGGCCAAGAAGGTTTCCTTAATTCTTGCGAGTGTCCTCACGTCTCCCCCAAAGGCATCGGCGCTTCTTTAGCCATTTGTGCAATTGTGCTAGGGGCTTGGCAGTCTCGATGCATTGCTTTAGCAACCGGTTATTGGCCTTGTGGCCAGTGCCCACCAAGAGGGCTTAACACTGCGACTGGACATGGCAGGCAGGTGCCGAACTTTGCCCAGATCCGTGGATGGTTAGACTCGGACATCACGACCAGTTCTACAAGGGAACTCCCTGGCAGCCTTTCTGGATCTTTTCTCTTTTCGCGACCTGACCCTTCGTGGCTGCCCTGCCAGCACCTAAGGGGTAAGGCTTGGTGCCACTCAGGGGAATCCAGATCACAGCGGATACACAATGCTTTTTTTTTTTCCGACAGTCTGCGGGAGATGTTCATCGAAGACGGCGGGAGGTCACACTTCACCTCGGCCTGATATTTGGCCACGGGTCAGAATTCCGTACCCCCAGTGAACATCCCAATCCCCACTAAAATAGGTTCTAAAATGGGTGGTGCACCTACCAACCAAAATGGGATCCCATTGGTTTTGACAACCACAGGCATTTGTCTATAGCAGCCTCGGCTTTGGCCATTTAAGGAACCCCGCCAGTGGTGCCTCTGGCGACTCTTCTCCGGGCCCCAGGCGTAGAGGTGCCAAGCACCTTCGGAGTGCCGCATCCTGGCAAGGGCTCAGGCGCGGAAATCGAACAGAGAACTGCGACCAACAGCGCGTCTGGCGAAAAATTGCTGCAGCGATTTCTGGATCTTGTTGCTCAGTGAACCCGGCCAACCGGGAAAGAACCTCTGTTGGATGTTTGCTGAGAGGCAAGTTGGAGTCTGTGGTGCGCAGTATCGGTTCTAAGCCTCTGGAATGACATCCTCAATTGCCATGGGGAGAGTTCCAACCACAGGCACTAACTGGGCCACGAACATTCAAACAGGAAGAGTTCCATCCTGCCTTTTGGGTTTGAGGGCTTCATCCCCCTCTCAACTTCCCAACTCCAGCATCTGTGTCGTGTCCTCCAAATGGTTGCCTTCCTGTTGCCCTTCATAAGCTAGACGGGACCTCAAATCAGTGTCCAGGCGCGTTGCTCTAATCCCCAAAACAGCGCCGCCTGCACAGCCCCGCCGCGAGGCGCGCTAGGTCGGGTGCCTCGAACCTGGGCCACGCACGGAATCAAAGGCGAAGAAGCCCAACCCTTGACTCTTCCACATGTCTTTAAGTCTTTGGTTTTGGTTCTGAGCTTGTTGTTTCAATCATTGATTGATGGTTTCTGTGCTTATTGATTTTTCATGTTTGTTCGGCCTCGTTTCCTCTCTTCCGTACCTGCAGGATTGCCATTGAACCCAGAAGTAGAAGAGTCAGAGGTCCAAGCCCACACCCAAACCAGGCAACGATGACAACGACGACGGTGATAATGATGACAGCGACGGTGACAACGACAGCCGCCACCACCACCACCGCCACCGCCACCGCCACCGCCACCGCCACCGCCGCCACCGCCACCGCCACCGCCGCCACCGCCACCGCCACCAGCACCGCCACGGTCACCACCACCACAAGGCTGACGACGATGTGGCACGGAAACACACTGGAATACCTTCCGGCATGAAATGGCATGAAGCTTGTCACAGGAAAAGCTGGAGCAACCATGTTGGGTTTACTGCCATTGTGATCATGTTTGATGGCGAACATTCATCGCAGGGCCAAGTCATAGAAGGTTCGTTTCATCACATTATGCCTGAATTGCCGCAAGCAAGCGCTCCGACCTTGAGCAAATCAGGACACCAAAAAAAGAAACGGCAGTCGCGTCATGTCGGACGCAGACACATGGCCTGCGTCTGTAAAAGTTACATGGCCTGCGTCAAAGTCCCTGCTGAGATGTCCGATCGACCCCGCACCGAGCTTCCCGGCAGCTCCGCCTGCGGCAGCGCCGACTTTGCCAAGACCTCCGGTCCGCTGAGAAGTTGCTTCGGGATTCTGGGCCCTTCGGGCCTGGGCGAACACGGCCCACCAGACAAAGGCAAATGTAGGATGTACCTGGTTGATGCATGTGTGGAGTGTTCCCTGTTCCCTTGGAGTGCGGATCCTGCCCTAATCCGCGGTCAACATTGGGTGCGAAACAAAACTTGTGCTTGGGGATCTTTAGTTTCAACATGCTGGACCTCAGACAACAGGCAGCAGGAGGCGCCCTATCTCCGATAAGCATGGTGGCGTGTTGCGGCCCTGCCATTCGAGTCATGCCTGCCTCAGGGCAACTGTCCCATGGGGAGTTTCTCCAAGCTGGGAGGAAACCCAGAATGTTCAAAATGATCGAGTCGACATGCTTCTCCTGTCAAAATCACAACATTGGCAACATCTTCGCTTGCTGCAACCAGCCTAGATGACGCGCGTAGACACTTGAAATGGCACACCACGTGTCTTAAGAAAAACGTTGTTGCAAACTGACTGCTGAGAGCTCGACTGGAACGGCCCTCGTATGGCATCCTGCTTGATTGTTTGACGTGATTGGATTCGTATCTCGGAAAGACAAGTGAAGCGACCGTTGAATTGTGATTGATCATTTAGCTGAGCTCGGCGTAGCTCGCTAGCTAGTGGCATAACTGGGACTCGAAGATGCACAAGAACATCGGTATCCCACGGTCAGCATTCAGTGTTCCCAACTGGCATTGTGGAGTTCGGGTTTGCAAACCACAAACCCTGATGAGTCTTTGCTGAGCCTTTGTCAAAGCCCTAGATGGAACCCCTGCTGAAGGATCCCTGGGCTGTTCGTAGCAAACCCGAATACTTATTAGATTCTGGACTTGGCTGCTGATGGCAAGTCAGTCAGTCGAAATGCGCTTTCTTCTGAGACAATGCTTATTTCAACGCTGGATTCATCCAGAGTACTGTGCCAGGTAATCAGAGGCATACCGCATACCCTGAAATAGGTCATTGCATGAGAAGGGAAACCGCGTCTGATTGATCCGAAGAGCTTAATTTGTACGAAGTGCACATAGGCGCTGCAGAGGCTGTCGTGACATCTGTGGGTTTGCTTTCTGAGGTTGGAGATTTGTTGCGCTGTGTTGATAATTGCTTATTTGGTCAAAAGGCCTGCTCAAGTCAAACAACTTTGGGTCGGCTACTGCACCTGCCAGCACGCGCACATCTTTGGAAGAAACACCTTGTGCAAGCAGGAAACTACCTCACTTGGCACGCCCATGGCTCGGCAGCCGTTCACGGTACTGGGGAGCAGCTGGATGCTTGTCAGCTAGACCAGCCATGGCTGAGCTCATTGCGGGTCGACCCATGACAAAACAGCAAGAATGAACAAGTTCCTTTACATTCGCAGGTCAAAACCTGATTTACATTCTGAAGAATAGACTTCCCTGGCACGCAAGGAATCCACTTATTCGTTGTCCATATCTCCGAACCGCGCCAAAATGCGTGTTGCGTTTCGCATCGCGGCCCACTGCCTTGCCTTGGCCGTCGCAAGGTCGGCCACCCGCAGCCGTGGCAGCGACCACGCAAGACCTTGGCCCGAGAATTCACTCTGCCGCTGACATGGAGATTCACATGAAAGGCGACAAAGCATCGCTGTCAAGCTGTCAACCTTCTAAGAGCTTTGCCACCCAACCTTTCATCGCAGTACCCCGATACAGCATGCCCCCCCCCAAAAAAAAACAAAAACAAACATAGAAGCTTTAGATTCAGAGCAGGACGAGCCATGGGAAGGTTGGGCCCTCCACCGTCCTCAATTGCCCGACTGACACTGGTGGTTACAAAAAGGCATGGTCCCTCCTTGCTCCAAGGGTGCTTCCCAACGCTTGTCAAGTCGCCTGCCTCAAAGTCTGTGACTGTGTGGCAACCTACCAAAATGCCATGGGACGGTCAGAAACGGGGTCAAGCTTTTGTGGGAAACCCGGTACAAGATGCCAACTCTCGAAGGATGGCCGAGGCTCCTGACGTGTCAGCTCTTGCGGCTGCAGCCTCCGCAGATTGGCAGGATGGGGTGCCTTTTCCGCAAGCCCCAGATTCGAGTGGATTTCAACAACAACCAAGTAACTCACCTGGTTTTCCAAACCCAAGCACATGTCCTGGCTTTTGGCATCCGGCTCTCTGCAGTTTCCTATGTTCGGGCGGCCTTTCTTCAGCGGTATCCTGGCTTGGGCAGCTTTTTGGGGGGGAGGCAGGAATTCGGGCGGCACTTCCCGGAGGCCTTTGGTGGCATTCTCTGAAACTTGGAGCTGTGGCATCCGAATGGGTTGAAAGCCTGGGAGGGTTCCATGAGCTGCTCCCCTTGTTCCTCTTTGGGGACCCCCAGAAGGTGTCCCCTCTACAGTGCAGCACTCTGGTCGTTTTCATCTCTCCAAACTTGCCGCAGCCTTGCTCGATGTCCATGGTGTCGGGTGAAATGCCCAAACGTTGCCCAAACGTATTGGGCCAATGCCTTTCTAATCGCTCATTCCGGATGGTTTTTTCCAATTCCGCAGGCCAAACCCTCCGGTTTTTCTGCATGCCGTTTGTGGTTTAGCCTTGCACTGCACCCAAGCGACGCGGACAGTCTCGTCCGGCGGCCTTTCTGTTGCATGAAGATGGTTATATTGAGACGTCCCATGTGAACAGGGTACCAATGAAACTAGACTTGGATGTTCCACACGCAATGCTTTACCAAGCCATGATCTGAGAAGCCGACTGTTCATTGGTAGTTACCAGTCGAGGTGACTGTTCGTATCTCCCCGACTTGAGATTCGGGATGGATGCTCAAGAACAAATCCGTCATGTGTGAACTCGTTTGCTCGTTTGCTTGAGGTGCCACTTCAAGGTGACATATGCAGCCACGACCAGAACCCTCCAAGAAACAACTGGAGCTAATTACCACATTGAGCAAGCTGCCTCATCATTCAAAACATGATCCAGGATTCAGAATGCCAGGATGAACACACCCTTCATTGATTCCCATTTTAGAGGGAAGCATTCACATCCGCCGGTTGATTAGTCCGATTTCCACATTGTCTGACGTTGCTACTCCCGAGAATCAATCCAAAATTATTTGCACGCGTCGTAATCGTTCTTGAAACAGCCATCATGTGACTCATGTGGTGCATTCTCAACAAAAAGAATGCTCGCTAAAAAGAAGAAGGATTCCATGCTTTCAATCGGCGCTGCCCAAATCTGGGGTCCCGGCGGCTTAGCACAGAGCTGGAAGGCTGTTCGCCTCGGCTACAATTGCTCAGTACACACTGTGAGCGCACGATCACTCGGGAGTTGTGGAACCAGGTAACCGTTTACATGTGAAAGTTGCATGGGACATCGCCCCGCCTTTCTTCCACGGTCCTCGAAAGTCACAATGTTTCATTGAGCATCTAGTTGGTTGGTGGTTGCGTGCCTGAAAGTTGGGCGCTTCTCGAAGCTAACCCTTGGCTTTGACACCCAAAAATCAATCCAAATAGGGGGCGCAGTCAATTCAGCGAGCAGAGTACCTTTTTATAAAGGGTGCCCTGTACCCCTAGCATGGTGGTAAAGTTCGTGAAGTTGTATTGGCTCAAGGCAACTCGGACAACTAGTAGAGTGTCGAATCCAATGCCCGCAGTCGTTCTATGCCAAAAAAAGCTGACGATGACTCATCGAACATTATTTGGCGTCACCGCCGCATTGACAAAAACTGCTCGTCTTTGAACAACCAACATGTGCCAGCACACAGGACATTCAATTTGACGTTTAGATACAAAATATCCGAGCCCTTTGTACCTTGCACACGCAAAGCGCAACCTCCTCATGTTAAAACAACCAAGCGGGGCACCAGAACTGCCGGGCTTGATGCGGCCTCTGTTTCGGCTTCCGTCAGACCCGTTGTGGCTGAGTCGAAAACGGTTTGGCTTCAGGAGCATCTTTAGGAAGCTAGGCGCATGATGCATGTCTGGAGAAACCTCTAAGCCTCTAGACCCAGCCAATGTCAGGTTGCAAACCGCTGCAGGCGCGCGAGCACACAACAAGAACTTGCTCCAAGTAGTCTAAGCCCCAGCACAGCGCACAGGCGCCTTCAACTATGTCAGCCCGAGGGTTGCAGTTCACTGGGTGCCAAAGAAAACGCAATGACCAGCAAGCAAGCCCAACTGTCAGCAGTCCAACGACTTCGGAGCATCACTCCCGCCCACTCGCTCAAGCTGCTCTTGGCGCCTCGCGTCGCCTCAGCGACGGATCCTGGTGCGTCCCGGGAATCCAAGTGCAACCAGCTGGTTAAGTGATTTCGTATTCAGGACACAGCTAAATCTCTTCCAACCAATCCAATGGGTTGCCAACCGAAGGGCTGCAACCTGAATGATCTACCTTGATACCAACTCCATGCATGGATCCCGCGTTCATTTGACCCACCTTCCTTCTTGAGACCATCCAACATCTTGTAGGTTGCTGGCATCTTCACCAGAGGCAAAAATTATCAAATGGAATTTTGGGGCTTGGGAGACAACCAAACTAGATCCAACATGGGAAGTGTGTTCAGGTGGGCATGTTGGAGCCTCCCAGGCTACAGCTTGCTGCGCTCATGCCAATTAAACCCGCCATGGGCGCTGCATTTCTCCACTCCATCACATAAGAAACTTGAATAACTGTGCCATTCTTTGCCGACCTGTCTCAAGCAGAGCCTCCAATCCTGGATTCGTCATGCTCATTCACTGTGGGATCCGCGAACAAAAACAATCCTTGAACCAGGCGCTTGACGCAGCGATCCCAAACGTGAGATCGCCAAAACCTGCCACTTGGGCGCCGAACTCGAGCGGCCCTTTAACATGGTTGAGCTTCGCTCGGTATTCTTTCAAGTCATAAACAGAGACGCCTCTTAATGGGATCCCCCGAATAGTCACACAAATATGTTTAGTAGTAAATCTTGCGGGCAGTGACGGATGTCCACTCACAGCGACACCACCTAATTGACAGCAAGTATGGGTTCTTCTGAGAGCAATGTCTACAACTCATTCTTGTATAACAGCAGGTCCTTTCAGCGATGGTCATAAGATAGATATCCACCTCCCCGGCAACGCAGGGCAAAACCCCTGCGCTCCGAATCGCTGGTCTCCGGGCAGCTGGGCCATAAGCCACAGGGCCTGCAGGTCGGTCAAGGCCCGCTTTGGGTCATGGTCATGGCCATCCATTTACTTAAGTCCCTTGCACAAAAAATACAAATGTGTTTCCAGTAGAGATAGATTCCCTTTAAAACCAACAGGGGGCAATAAAACATATTCTTGAGCAAATGGAAGCCTACCAGAAATCTGGAGCGAAAGCCGGACAAGATTCGAGGAGTTGATTCGCTAGAGACAAATTCACATGTGTGAATAAACATTCATAAGAATTGTGGACAAATGAAATCGGGCCAAAATATGGAGTTACTGTACACGACTTCGTATGGGAAATGTGTTGAGCCCCGTACTGAATGCTCTAACCCAACCTCAAATTCTGCGAAAACAACGATGTAGATCAATGTCGAACGCGTGGTGTCGTAGCAAATCGCATCCATTTGCTTAAGTCCCCTGCAGTGGTGATAAATTCCCTTTAAAGCCGACAGGGGGAAATACCACAATATTCTTGAGCGAATGGAGGCAGCGAGTCCCGCTACCCGCCTCCACCTGCGCCTCGGGCGGGCCGTCGCCATCCTTTGGAAGGCGTCTGGCGCTCGAAGCGGCCGCAGCGGCCGAAGCGGCCGCAGCCTCGGTCGGTGCGGCGCTTTGGATCTTGCGCACTAAAAGACCAAAGAACCCGAAGCACCCGAAGAACCCGAAAAAACCAGAGGCTTCACCTTCTAGGTCCTCCAGTAGAGAGGTTAGAATAAGGGTACCAACTTTTCTCTGTAGTCTATTTTAGCAGGGGAACCCTCCCCAAAAAAGGGGTACAAGGGCACTTCTGGGGGACCTAGCCTTAGCCCTGGTGGTTTGGACGTGGGCCTTCCCCATCTGGTTTCACAAGGTACGGTTCAAACGCAAGCCACCAATCCAAACCACTAATTACTGGCAAGCTGAAGGTCAGCTGTTGAGAAAAAAACGGATCCAAGGTGGGAAGCCGAAATGTCAACAGCTTCACTTGCCTAAAGCTCAGCGTTGGCTCAAAAGGTTGGCTGTAGAAACTTGGGCAGTGAGGCATCTCTGCTTACAAGGCCGGGCCACAGAACTGTCCCCGCCACAAAAATGACGAAGCCTCCTCCCCCGCAGTGCCTCCCATCTTTTTCGCGCTGAAATCATGGCATTGCAGGGCGTCAGCATGTCCGGCCAGCGCTCGCAAACGGCCTGCAATGCGGGCAGTGTGGCGGGCCGGCTATCATCCGACATCTGCAACTCAGTGTGAAGGAACCTCATGGCACATTCCTATCCCGCTGGAAGATTTGCCCAGTCACGCAACAAGCCCATCCAACACAGACAAAAAGGACAGGCGAATGCGTGTATGGAAAACAAACTGCTGCAAGTAAGAGAGATGCTGAAACTCGATCATGCATGCAATCGGATCTCTGGCTTGGCATAAGCTTTACCTACCACTGGACACCTTCATCAAGGGTATCGTCATGGGTAAGCTGAGCTCTTTTACCCCGGCTCGCCATGACTTCCTAAACACTTTTAGTATCCCCTGCTAAACATGAAGGCAACCAACCGAAAGCAGGATACGGCATGCAAAGAACAACGAAGACAACTTTGTCCAAGGGCAAAAAGATGACCCACCGAGCAGCACACCAACAGCAAAACATGAGAGAAAGGGGGCCCTACGAAGGACGCGTCCTGGGCGCCCAACTGCGCGTCCCACGGTGTCTCACTCAGACTGCCATATCGGAGCTCAATGGTTTTGTCCATCACAACTCACAAACCATCCTGGGTCTCACAAGAGCTGCTTAGGTGGGGTAAGTTGCCTCCTGCGACACCTACATCTTGCCGAGTAGTGTTACCCTTCTTGATTTGCTTTGCGTTGGGGCATGGCAGTGCGTTGGATCAGAATCTGGGTGATTGGGCACGGGGTGCTAGTCTAGGGGTGTAGCCGGACTTCCGGAAACATCTGGAAACCAATCGCCCAAACGGTGAGCCGACTTTGCATCCGTGCATTCCTGTGCGTGTGTTGTTGCATCAGCTTTGGGTCAATCCCGCAATGTCTACAGGTGTAAGCGATAACCAACTCTTGATCCATATCCCTCCAGGCGATAAAACTATGGGCATGGGTCAAAATGAAACCACCATAAAAACCATCAGGTTAAATCGTCCATTCACCCGGGCAAGCCATTTTGGGTATCCGTTTGTTTGGACCCACCGCCATATGGGTCTGAAACTAAATAGGGACTCTTTGGTGGACACCCTTTAGGATGGGGATTTATGTCCACCAATCACTTCTCAGGTTCCCCAATAAACAACAACCTGACAAAAAATCCGTAAACTTGTCTGTTCAGGTTATCCCCCCCAAAACAAAATAAGAATCTAGCCAACAATCCTTACACTTGTCCACCATTCACTTTTCAGGTTCCCCAATAAACAAAACCTAGCAAAAATCCGCAGACATGTCCATCAATAACTGTTCAGGTTCCCCAATAAACAGAAATCATAGCAAAAACTCATACACTTGTCCACCAATCACTCTTCAGGTCCCCCCCCAAAAAAAACTAGCCACAAATCGATAGACTTGTCCACCAATGACTTTCCAGGTTCCCCAATTAAAAAGAAAACTTGCCAAAAATCCTTGGACGTGTCCACCAATCACTTTTCAGGTTCCCCAATAAAAGACATCCTAGCCAAATATCGTTAGACTTGTCCAACAATCACTTTTCAGGTTACCTAATAAACAAACACAAGCCGCCCACCAATCACTTTTCAGGTTCCCAAATAAATAAAAAACATCCTAGCCAAAAAATCCTTAGACTTGTCCACCAAGCTCTTTTCAGGTTCCGCAATAGAAGAAATCCTAGCCAAATTTCCTTAGACTTGTCCACCAATCACTCTTCAGGTTACCCAATAAACAAATCCCAGCCAACAATCAGTAGACTTGTCCACCAATCACTCTTCAGGTTCCCCCCCCAAGAAACAAACATGCTAGCCAAAAATCCTTTAGACTTCTCCACAAATCACTTTTCACACAAATAAACAACAACCTGACCAAAAAACCGTAGACTTGTCTGTTCAGGTTATCCCCCCCAAAACAAAATAAGAATCTAGCCAAAAATCTCTAGACTTGTCCACCGATGATTTTCCAGGTGATTGGCCAAAAATCCGTAAACTTGTCCACCAATCACTTCTCAAGTTCCCCGATAAAAAACAATAGTCCTAGCCAAAAATCCTTAGACTTGTCCACCAATCACCTTTCACGTCACCCAATAAACAAAACCTAGCCCAAAATCCATAGACTTGTCCCCCAATCACTTTTAAGGAACCCCCAATACAAATCAAAGAAATTCCTAGCCAAACATACTTATATATACTTCTCCACCAATCACTTCTCAGTTACCCCAATACACCAACATCCTAGCCAAAAATCCTTAGACTTCTCAGCCAATCACTTTTCAGGTTCCCCAACAAACAAGACCTAGCCAAAAATCCTTAGACGTGTCCACCAATCACTTTTCACGTCCCCCCTCAAACAAAAAAAGCATGCTAGCCAAAAGTCCTTAGACTTCTCCACAAATCACTTTTCAGGTTCCCCAATCAATAAACAAGACCTAGCCAAAAATCCGTAGACGTGTCCACCAATCACTTTTCACGTTCCCCTATTTAAACAAAAAACATGCTAGCCAAAAATCCTTAGACTTCTCCACATATCACTTTTCAGGTTCCCCAATAATTATAACCTAGCCAAAAATCCTTAGACCATTCTGAAGAGCTAACCCAATTATCCCCCAAAATGGATGCAACAACAACTGCCATCGAAGCAGTCCACCCAAGCAAGGCTAAAACTCAACTTTCCCATTCTCTCCCTTTGCCGACTCCCAGCAGCCCACCAGGCCTCTCCCAAGCAGGGGCGGTCAGCCTTGCCCTTCTTGTTTCGCCCACATCCATGTCATGAATCATTGCCAAGGCGACACTGACAAACATAAAGCCCGTGGCTTCACGACAAGCATTGAAGCATCCTCCTGATGGCACCGCGGGACCCTCATCAGCCAACCCACCAAAGTGGTGCCCGCGATCCAATTTTCCGCAAACTTCCAATTCACTTCCTCATTCTTTCAATGGGGGCCCACGCAGCAGCCCACGCAGCAGTTGTCATCACTTTCGGGAGGAAAGACCGGAAATCCTAGAAAATTGGATGCTTGGAAAGAATGGGTGTTAACCGAAAATATGGCCTCATACCATACTTCCCCATTCTTTCTGGCTTTCCAATTTTCACCCAAAACACATGCAAAAGCGAAAAACAATTGACAGGGACACACTGATCTTTGATCGAAAGAACGATGCTGGGGGACAGAATGATGGGGTGGGGAAAGAAGGGAAATGATGATGGTTGTTGGGAAAGAACAATGGTTGGGGAAAGAACGATGGTTGGGGAAAGAACGATGGCCCTGGGGAAAGAACGATGGTTGTAGGGAAAGAACAATGCCCCTGAAAACAGAACGCTGCCAGTAAGATCGATGGCCTGCAGCGGCATGACTTTGGCAGGTCAGGGGAAGGGGTTGTCTAGTCTATTGGCCCTACCCCGAGCCTGCAGGACAACTTTCTGCATGCGTCAGTGCTCGCTGCAGAAAAAAAAAAAACTGAGCCGAAACCGGCTGGAAAGACCGATCGTTGCACTGAGTGCGCGTGTGACGAAAGAATGGGGAATCAACCCTTAGAAGACTACTCACTTTTCACGTTCCCCCCCCCAACAAAAAAAAAGAAAGAAACATGCTAGCCAAAAATCCTTAGACTTGTCAGCCAATCACTTTTCAGGTTCCCCAATGAACAAAACCTAGCCAAAAATCCTTAGACGTGTCCACCAATCACTTTTCACGTTCCCCCCCCCAAAAAAAAAACAAGAACAAAAACATGCTAGCCAAAAATCCTTAGACTTCTCCACAATCACTTTTCAGGTTCCCCAATAAAACAAAACCTAACCAAAAATCCTTAGACGTGTCCACCAATCACTTTTCACGGTCCCCCCTCCCAAAAAAAAATATCTTGAACATGGTAGCCAAAATCCACAAATCACTATTCAGGTTCCCCAATACACAAAACCTAGCCAACAATCCGTAGACGTGTCCACCAATCCCCCCCAAAAAAAAAGCATGCTAGCCAAGAATCCTTAGACTTCTCCACAAATCACTTTTCAGGTTCCCCAATAAACAAGACCTAGCCAAAAATCCTTAGAAGTGTCCACCACTCACTTTTCACGTTCCCCCACCAAAAAAACAACATGCTAGCCAAAAGTCCTTAGACTTCTCCACATATCACTTTTCAGGTTCCCTAATAAACATAACCTAGCCAAAAATCCTTAGATGTGTCCACCACTCACTTTTCACGTTCACCCCCCCCCCCCCGCCCTCAAAAAAAAAGAGCTGCTAGCCAAAAATTGGACTTCTCCACAAATCACTTTTCAGGTTCCCCAATAAACAAAACCTAGCCAAAAATCCTTAGACTTCTCCAGCAGTCATTTTTAAGGCGCCATATCTCCGATCCATCGATCACCGCCCCCGCGCCCGGAACCGCCGGATGGATGCCTCCGGCAGCAGCGCCGTGAGCTTGGCTGCCCAGGTCTCGTAGCTGTCGCCGCCTGGTGGCGTGCACGCGCGTGCTTCGGGGTTCAGTTGCCAGGAAAACCATGGTTGGGTTCATAAAACCACCATGGTTTACCTGTTCCCTGGTTCAGGTACCAGGAAAAACGATGGTTGGGTTCATATAACCATGGTTTACCTAAGGAGTGACATCCAAGTTGGGTCTTAACCTTTCTTTTGGTGGGGGCTGGATGTTTGTCTCTTTGGTCTGAAGGGAAACAAAACGAATTGGTGTGTTTGTCGGAAGAACACATGTGCTTGTTCGAGTCAGTTTGGAGGAAGCCAAGCTATGTTGGGACAGTCGCACAAAACTGGCGCGCAGCGAATTAGATGCTTGGCCGGCAAGCCCAAACATCAAGGGACAAGGCAATTGCCTCCGAACGGATGGTCTCTTCTGATTCCCAAGTAATCAGTCATTGAAAGGGAGGCCTCCCATGTTCTCGCTAACACCTAGAAGCCCTCTCGCTTCATCTTTGAATTAAACTTTCGGGACTCGGGCTACTTCGAGTGAGCCCTTGAAGGATCTCCGGCCTCTGATCCATCAGCCGAAATGTTCAGAGCTTGGGTGCATCAAACCTTTCCTACACCAAACCTTCAAACACCGAAAGCCAAGTGCCGTTGAGGTTGCCTCACCAAGAGCGATAGGAATAGCGGATGTAATCCCAGACTGTAATACGTGTGTGGCTCAAAATTACAGAGCTGGGATTACGCAGGTGTTGGTCTTTGTTTCCATCCAAGGGGCCCAAAAATGGCACCACCTTTTTGAACCACAGCCATACATGTCCAAAGGCAGGACATGAAAGTTGAACCTGTTGGGCCATGACTTGGTTGACGTTGGAAGGGGAGCAAAAATGTAAACTTTAGCAGTTAAGTGGGGATTTCCCACTAAACCACAATGAGCAAAAATGTAACATGTTTCCCAACAACAACCATGATGACTGAGAACCAATCAGCTGACAGTCGCTCCCGCCGCACCGCTGCCACCTTCGAAGCCATTCGGCAGGTCGAGGCCGCGCTTGAGATCCAAGCCCCGCAAGGAGCAGCAGGGGCACAGCACGATGGCCTCACACCTCAGGTGCACCGAGCGCGAGATCCCCCTGCAACACATCACCCCAAGAAGTCATTCAAACTCAGCAACCAAATTTCAAAGGTTCTAGAGGGCGATATTCCTTCCGAATGTGTTGGTTGGATCATGGCAGTGAAGTGTCCCAACTCCCCAGCTTGTTTTTTTCATGTGCTGCGTTTCCTTCTTCTACCTTGCCGTGCTCTTGCCATATACTGCAGGCTATTGAGCTATAGCATTTAACAGTTAAACTGGCTTGTGCCAAAGTCTACGCTAGTGCCACATGGCTGATGTCACTGATGGAAGCGCCCGCTGGCCCATGGGTCCTTATTCGCAGTTCCAGAGGTCCTGTACTGGGAACCCCGAATTGATGACACGCGTCTTTAGCCAAGATCTTAACCCCAGATTCAAGCGCTAAAGTTGTATGTAAACATGGAGCATACGTGGGATCCTCGGAAAGGAACTTTCAGCATGCCTGGAGGTTTGCAACTCCTTGGTGAGCTCACTCTACGCTCCGTTGTAAGTTTACTCAGTCGCTGTGCAGCTCGCAATACCCTCAGGTGACAAAAGACAATGTAAGAGACACATGTGCCACGGACAATACTACCTTCTGATGGCTCCTTTGGGTAGTGACCCTCACCCTCATGTTTGTGGAAAGGATACTTGGACTACACACTGTGGATGGACGAAATCCATTTCGCATCACCTGAGAAACCATAGAATGATGATTCCCCTGTAAATACCAACAATGGTTTCCCATAGTTTTCAAGTGGTGCAAACGGATTTTGTCCGGCAGAGCCGTGGGAAGCGTAGTCAACTGCACACAACCCCGCAAATCAACTACCAAACAAAAAGGCTACTACGCGAGCAAGCAAATTAATATACAAGCACACACAGCGACATGCAAACAAACACCACATGCGAACCAGCAAGGCAGAAAGCAAGGCAGAAAGCAAGGCAGAAAGCAAGGCAGAAAGCAAGCACGCAATCAAATCCTCTCATTGGACTGAAGCTCTCAAATGCTCGAGCGAAGATTTGCATCTGCCAATGGTGAAGCCAAGGCAACCAAAATCTGCAGAGCGCAAGCCGCAAGGGTCTGCATCCCAGTGGCTGAGGCAGGGCAAAGATCTGCGTGGCGATGACGCTCAGCGCCTCAGAGCGGAGATTTGCACTTTTCGACATAGGAGACCGCTTCAGACGGATGCTGCCTGTACCATGGACAACTATAGCCAATCACTCGGCAATTTAATTTCGCAAACCGAACCCCTTTGGGCAGTTGGTGGTTGCACATTCCTTTTCTTGGGTTACATCTCCCACCAAGAACCGTCAGCAGTGTGCGGGAAGAACATCTTAGTGGTGGTTTGCCTGAAATGTAGTGGTAGTACAGAGTGCAACCCTGAGAATACGTCCAAAGGGTAAACCCGGCAAGCCAGTAAATCATTGCGCGTTTCAGAGATTCCAGCTCTCACGGAACAGAGATTCGAGCAACAACCAAAGCTGGCTTTCAGAGACCCCTCTGTGCGAGTCCCGTCGTGATCTTCAGGAAAGTGCTTCACCAGGCCCAGATCAATACCCCATGAGATTGCTAATATTTTCTGAGGTTGGAGCTCTTGCCATTCAGAAGCAGTGCCTGAGAGATTCTTCCCACCTAAATGCCTACAACCTGTGGCATACGGGGGCCGCAAGATTTGAGTCCGGGTGCACAAATGCCTAATGGCAGGCCAAAAGATTTGAGTCCGGGTGCACAAATGCCTAATGGCAGGCCAAAAGACAAAACGAAAGGTTCGCAAGCTGGTCAACTGAAGGATGTCAGGAATGGTTTTTCACAGGCTCCATGCCAGATCTCAGTGCTTGCCCACAGACACGACTCGCTGCTCGAGCTCTCCAACGGAGTTCATGTTCTGGTGACTTTGAGGGGGAAAGACTACACGCCCAGCAACATGGAAGTGCACAAAGCCCCCTTTCCAAGAGGACAGTAGTCCTTCAATTGCCTCTGATCTTCCATTCGAAAGATGTCTGGACCCTTCGAGCTCTTTTTTGCAGGCTATGCAATACACAGTTCGCGCGCGGAGAGCACGAGTGGACAGCTCAGACCATAGCTCCGCATGGAGCCAACTCTTGCTGCAATCCACACTCCATTCATCTCACTCGCCCAAGGAAACTGGAAAACAACTTGGCCAACAAGCAGGGACTGGGAAAGAGCGGACCCGGAAACGGACTCGTCCGCTTCCTGGTTTGTTCGTACTTCAGACATGCTGCTCGAATTGTTCCCGAAAAGGTGGTCTATTTACCTTGGGCAACTAGTCTGGAAAGTAAAGCTCGGCGCTGCTTTGGACGCGGAGCCATCGCAGTACCACAGTAGATCGTTTTCTGAAACCCCTTCCCAGCCAAGCAGCTGAGGTCGGCCAGTCCAGCCGCAATGGCAACGGTTTCTCCTCGTGTCCTAAAGCCATCCATCGTTACTCAAGCGATCCCGGGTCTATGGGGCAGGGGAAGTCCATAGTACCTCTTGATGAGAGCTCATCGAGGGCTTCTCCAGGATAAGCCGTGATGGACACTCAGAACCGTTGCACTAGCTGAGGACCATTCAGCCAAGACAGCATGGCCCTCAATGACACAGAATTCCCACAAATAGTCACCAAAAATCACTATCATATTTGTCATATCGTCCACATATCCAAGCCTATGCAATATTCATGCAATGGCGTATTTTGGCTATGGCGCTGCTCAAAGGGCCAAAGCCCGCGAGCACCGGTCCTTCGTGCGGAAGTCTTGTGAGACGAGTTTGGACAAGTCTTGTGAGACGAGCAGATCCACAAGCAAAGCGGATGAGCTCTTCGGGACAGGAAACCAACAGCTTCCCTATCCGGGCCCGCTCGAGAAGTCTCAGGGCTGCTTCTGCCAGGCGTCCGTGGGAGGTGTAACCATGATGGGCTGGCCCACCACCATCATCCTTGGCTCAAACAACTCGCCGGGTCGTTTTCCGTCGGTCATTTTTGGCAGAAAGTTGCGTTCCGCCTAGCGTTTTCACCCAGGTTCAAAAGCAAAAAAGGGCTTTCTGCACTCGGTCGTTTCAGTGCCACCATTTTTTGAAAACATTGGCAGGCGTGGGTCATCGCGCACCTCGGTTTCGCCTTTTTGTGTGGCTTCCTCTGAAACCTGTCTTGAACGCCGCGCAATGGTTTTGCGTGGGAATTCTCAATATTTTTGGCCGCGCCCAACTTCAGTGATCAAAAAAGACATGTTTCTGGAGACCCAAAATGTTTCGTGTTTTTTTGGGCTGGCACCCCTGGTTGCTGAATAGTGTGACGCGGATACTCTCAACTTTGCTCCGCTCTCGGATCACCGCTCCCAAATTTCATTCGACGCTGACCTGCTGTGTGGGACCACGTTGGGCGGGGCGATAGCCTTGTGTTGGGTGGGATCACTTTCGCAGGGGTGCTTACCACGTGTTGGGTGGGATCACGGATCACTTGTTGGGGAAGGAATACCATGTGGCTGGTTGTCAAAATGTTGTCCCTTTTGTAGCGTAAATCGCCATTCCATGGGGGCCCGTATCGCTCGGGCCACATGAACACGCAACCATTGCGGCACAATAGGTGTGACTAAGAAACGTGCAAATACTGACAGGCGCGCTAGCGCGGGCCTTCCGAGCTTGTAGAGCTGCTGCTATAAGATGTTTTAACACACAAGACATCCCAATGCTCTACAACACATCTTCAGCAAGTAACAAAGCGGAATTGGTTCGTACTCCGGGCATATCGCTTTACTTAACCTGACTTACAGCTACAGCCTAGAAACATGCAAGTGGTTTTTGGGTATTGCCTCCAACAAGGCACGTGCCCGAGTGCTCAAGTCGGCAACTGGCTGCTAGCGGTGCTAGCGCGGTGCTAGCGCGGTGCTAGCACGGTGTACTAGCGCGGAGCCAGCGCGGAGCTAGCGCGAAAAACTGCCTCTGTGCATTTTTGTTCGCAGGGTCACGTGTCGCAAGGTCAGGCACAGATTTCGTGACAGGCGCAAGGCTTTCGGAAGGGCAGGCATGGCAGGCGCAGCACTTTCGCAAAGAAACATGCAGATTTCGTGGCAAACGCAGCACTTTCGCCTTGCGAGCAAGGAATGCCTCGAGCCCTGAGAGCGACTGGACAGAAGGGCCATGCGCGCATCTGACATGACACGTCAACTAACGTCCCCGACCTAGCGCCGAGCTAGCGCGAAGCTAGCGCTGCCAGTGGGAATTGCATGATTTAGGTGGGGGCCCGCTTCATTTCGAAAAGGAAAAACAGATGCAACAGGAATTATGCACATACTGTATGTAGCTCCTTAGCCGGCCTTTTTGAACGGAAGCCATGTGTTAGGTGTGTTGAGTGGGGGCGGGATGCTCACCATGTGTTGGGTGGTCATTTGGGCGGGGGTGCTTACCATGCGCTGGGGCATCGGCCCCTTTACCATGTTGTTGGTGGGATCACTTGTTGGGTGGTGTGTTGGGTGGACGACTTGGGAGGGGTTGCTTACCATGTGTGGGGTGGGATCACTTGGGTGGAGTGTTTACCCTGTGTTGGGGATCGCTTGTGGGGTGGGAGGGTGCTTACCATGTGTTGGATGGCATGACTTGTTGGGTGTGTTGGGTGGCGACGGGATGCTCACCATGTGTTGGGTGGTCATTTGGGCGGGGCTGCGTTGGGTGGGACGAAGGTGCTTACCATGTGTCGGGTGGGATCACTTGGGAGCTTACAATGTATTGGGAGGGTGCTTAACATGTGTTGAGACCACTTGGGCGGGGGTGCTCACCATGTGTTGGGTGGGATCACTTGGGCAAGGCATCACTTGCGCGGGGAACCAAATTTGGGTGAGATCACTTGGGTGGGGTGATAACCATGTGTTGGGTGGGGGGAGGGGGTGTTTACCATGTGTAACCATGTGTTGGGTGGGATACTTGGAAGGGGGTGCTTACCACGTGATTGGGCGGGATGCTCACCACGTGTTGGGTGGGAGGGTGCTTGTCGTGTGTGGGGTGGGATCACTTGGGCGGGGGGTGTTTATCAATGTGTGCTGTCGGGATGCTCATGTGTTGGGTGGGATCATTTGGGCAGGGGCGCTTGTCATGTGTTGGTGGGATCGCTTGGCATGTGCTGGGTGGGATCACTTTCTTGGGATCACCTTCTTGCGAAGTGTGCAAAAAGTGGAAGTGTGCAAAACGTGGGTTTTGCACTGACGGTGTCCGACCCGACAGCTCAAAGAAAGATCCGCGGCAGGATCTACAAAAGCTTCATGCCACCTTCAAGCCACCCCTCTTTATGGTTTTCTTTATGATTGGGAATGTCCTGCCCGCCATTTCAGCTCCCCTCAACAATCATGGAAGCTGACAGGAAAGAACGTACCACGGTTTTGTGCCGTTGGTTCAGCTGGTTCCTTTGACCTTCTCTCTATGGTCACCCTTCGCACTGACCGCCTCGCTGCATAGCGTCGGCATGGCCTGCTGAGTCTGCAAAGGCCATCGGCTCAGTAAGTCTTGCACTTGCCGGTACTCCCGTGCGCCTGGGGCAAGCAGGAACCCCTTGAAATGGGTATGTGTCAAAATCAAACCACCAGGGGACCGCAGGTTTTGGTCCATATTTCCACCTTCCAGGGTTCCATTTTGGGTACCTATCTTTTATGACCCACAGCCAAACCTGTTTTCGACTCAGAGGCTTTAACTCTTAGCAGGGTGGTTCGGAATCGGGAGTCAAAGGGCCTCAAGGCTATTTCTGGCCGCTACCTTAAAATCCGAAGACAAAAGGCTCCGCTTTGGCCATTGCAAGGCCTCTCGAAGCACCTGGATATGGGACGCAAATGTTTTGATGCCTCGCTGTGACACATATCTTGCTCGGACAAGGCCAACCAATAGCCGTACTTGCCTCACATGCTGGTCCTTGATTGTCAAATACTCCAAGGACTACGGGCATGGGTCATCAAACGGGCTAGCACACGAATCCTAATGCCTTTCCTTTGATATGCAAGGCAGCCCAAAGGTGATGGAACATGGGAACCCTCACAAGTTGTCCCAGGACCATGGCTCACATTACCTGAAGCAGCAGAACAGGGACACGGAAACAAGCCGGACACAAATCAACGCGACAAGACATAGCTAACAGAGCAAACAAATCCCAGCCCTA